CTGGCTCGTGCAACTTAGCCTTTCTCTCTCTTCCTCTCATTCACTTGCGCCGCGTATCTACACCCCCTTCCATCTCTTCGCGCTCGCTCTCGCCGCGGTCTCTCCTTCCCGTTCACGTCCGCGTGACTCACGTCGTGGCGTACGACGCACCTCGATTCCTCGATAAGTGTTGCCGCCTCTCGGGGATTTCGGGAACCTCGTCGGAGATTCCCCTACCTCGGAGCCGCGAAACGTGCCCGACGGTGGGGATGCGACGTCGTGGAAGTGGGGAACCACCACAGGGAGAGGATGGAGAGAGGACTAGCTACGGCAAAACTTTTGTCCATTCACGGCCGGCACGCTCCTAATTGGGAGTACGCTCCGAGGTCTCGTTCCACGCGCACGGATGCTGCGTGAACGCGCTGCGGACCGAGCCGGAACTGATACTTAGATAGGAATTTGTATTTCTTTTTTTTTTTTTTTCTTCACGCTCGGAATCGACACTCGACCGAGCGCGGATCTCTCATTTATCGAGTCTACGCCGGCGGGTGTTGTTTCGATCGCTCGAATCGAAATTATTTTCCTCGGAAAATTATATTGCCTCCGACAGAAATGTCATCGAGTCGCGTGCGCGTGCCGTAAATAAATTTTATAAAGGTATATAAAGGTTAATAAAAATTAAATTTATTAAGCGCCAAATGCAGACTCGTATATGCGAAAACTTGTTCTGCGCGCAAAAACGTCCTCTCTCTGTTAGTACTCCACAATACTATTTGTCAGCATTCATGCATGCTTATCTAAAAGGAAGTTATATTCGCTAACATATACATTCACATATGTCAATGCAATTTCCGTTCGGTGAACAGAAAGTTTGATCACTAGAACTCTCTGAATGTAGTATTGTTTTTTTTTTTTCAATCATGGTCTTGAGAGTTGCTATTTCATTTCGAAATTGCAGACATTGTTGTAACGATTTTTTACGGATTTTTTTATAGTGGCAGGATGAATTTTTTGTGCAACGACCTAATTCTGCAAAATATCAACACGATTAACTTGACTGTAATATGAAAATCATTTTCACCATATATTAATTTTATGTTTGCGCGATGTGAGATTTTGCTATAATTTATTGACGCCGTGCTATAAGTACATAACTCTTTTATATTCTCGAATGATAAGCAATGTAAAACATCGGCGTTGAAAGTCAATACAATCATGTCGAGAAATGTCCTATGCTAACGAGCTGGGAGACTTCACTCGATTGTCGTCGATAGCGCGCGAGTCAGAAAATTGCGCTGCAATCTTCTGCACGTCGCCAGACGGAGCAATGTACTTTATTCCATGGCGCGTATTGTCATCTGGATACTTTATAGAGTTAATTTATACAATATAATAAACCCCATTCAGGCTTGTCAACAGCCTAACACGCGAATAATGCGTAATATCTAAAATATTAATTTTTATTTTCATTATATTTTTGTTTTTTGTCACTAGTCATGGCCTTTAATTTAATGCCCTGAAATGGTAAACTACTTTGCAACTTTGCTTAGTTTAGAAACCGCGCCGAATTAAAAGTACGAATTCACATTGTTCAGCCACCACATCGCAACGAGAGGAGTTATTTGTTTCCATTTGTTTACACTTCGCTCGGCTACGTTTTGGTACGTTATACTTATTCATACAAAGTACACTTTGCGGTATATGAATAATCTTAGAGTAATTCTAATAATTTAAAAAAAGTCTTAAAAATCTACTTAATGCATAAAAAATATTATTTTCACAATTAATTTAAATTTACGATTTTAAAACACATTGTATCTTAAAAGGCGTGTATCTCGATTATATTTTCTTCAATAGTAAAATGCAAAATTGCAATCTTTTATCGCGATGTTGTTTATATTTAAAACATAAAACAGAGATTCTACCTAAAGAGACTTCCGTTTTCCCAGGTTAGGGATGCCTCTTTCTCTCTCTCTCTCTCTCTCTCTCTCTCTCTTATGTCATTAACTCGTAGCCTAATCAATAGACATAATTATGAAACTATGCGCCATTAATAGTCCCGTGCCGCGCGGGTCATAATCTCGTGGTGAAGGACGGTGCGGCACTAGTTCGCGCGTTATTAAACGGGTGTATTTTATAGGAAACCGGTAGTTGAGTATAATAACGAGCGAGGGTTGCCAACGTTCGATTGTGTGTGTGTGTGTGTGTGGTGGGGGGATCCATTAACATTATTATATGCTAAAAGAGAATAACTGATAAAATGAACTGCGTTTCGCTTTCTAAACAATATTAAGCCAATCAGAATGTTAAAATTTTATAAAGTTCAAATATATGAGTTTTAATACGCTGATAACAATTTTTTAACTTATTATATTTTACGATATTATTTTTCTAATATGTAGATAATAATATATCTATAGATAATTATATACAAATTTATAAGCGAAATAGAGGAAAACACGATAACAAAAGAAACATACAGGCGTTTCTATTTTTTGTAAGAAATTTAAAAATAATGCTTTACTTCGTGGCAAGTAATAGTAGCAAAAAATATTGAATTTCATTCCCAAAATAAATCTGATAGACAAAGCAATAAATTATCGAAACATCCGATAAAATATCGAATTTATTGCGGAACTTGTCGTTCATTCTCATGTGTCTGATTTCTCCTCTTTTTTCGTCCCGCGGTTGACTTTCCGCTAATCAAAGGATACGACGAACGTTTGCATTTCCTGCGTCCAGTCATTAACATCGGCACGTTTCGGTGGGGCTTTATCGTTTATCAGCGAGCAACAACCTCCTTCTATATCGGCCACTTTGCCACAAGTCGGCCGCGCCATCCCCAAATCGCTAAACTATCCTCCAAACACCAAGTACCGCACTAGGGAAACTTCGACGTTAGCCACCCTCACACCTTCGACCTTTGACCGTAGAATCGGCCAAGTGGCCGAGAATCTGACCAACGAGCAATTACGTGCCGAGGTGCCGAAAGATTTTGCGGTGGAAGATTTACCACCAACGGACAGCTAGAAATTATTTACGAAGCTAACCGACGAGCGATTCTATTTTCGAGATGCCCAAGACTCGCCGCTCGATAGTGACGTTTGACAAAACGCTTCAAACGTACAAATTATCTTAATGAGCGAGCGACTTATAAATCATAGCGAGCGGGATAGTGACAGCTGTACATTCGTTACAACTACGGGCACGTTAAATTCTTTTTAATTTCTTCCGATTCTGCCTTTGCGGAATGGCAGATCGTTTTTTTTTTATTTATTTATTTATTTTTTTTTTTTTTTTGCTAATAATCAACGATACGAATACTTCCAATGATACAGCAAACGACCGATCTTAATGGATATCAGTTGCGCGCGTTATTTATCAATACTGACGGAGAAACGCGGTGATTTAATTTTTCCTTATTAACTGTATTTGATGTACGTACCGATTCGTCAACAGTTATCGAAACAGACGATTTGATATGATATTCGCGAGATACACTTCCAAACAGCACGTTATAATAAAACCATTCCGATATTTGGCTTGTCAATTATATCTGGATACTTTCTCTAAGAATCGCACTGTCGGTGATGTGACAGATGAAATGTTTTTATTTATCGGCAAGTAAATTTCGCGAAAATCTGACGTAGAATTACGACAGTTTCTAGCAAAATCAGATATATAATGATGACTAATAAAACACGAGTATATACAATTTTGAGACAGATGCGAAAAACGAAAGATAAATATAAATATTAATAATTTTAGCTTTATTTCTCTTTAAATTTAATTTAATAAAAAAAAATATTGATATATCACACACCAGTGTCGAATGTATATTAAAATTATTAAAATATATTTTTCACATTTAATAATTTAAAACTTTCTATCGGTAATACATTCTCGTTTGTGTACTCCGAAATTATATTCATAATCTTTCATATTTTCTTTCACATCATATCTTTTAATATCTATCAATAAAAATAGTCGTGAGACTTTTTTTAAACACATCAAATGAAATTTAATCATTTAACAGATAATTACAACTGAAAGCAGCAATTATAATGATATGTCACACGTAGATGAAGTTAATCTTAATTAGCAGTTATATAATAGATACACTTTGAGTCACAATTGTTATCAATAAGAAATATGACAATATTGTACATTTAATGTATCTTATCAGTTCCTCTTATATTTTCTATATTTAATATCTCAATAATTTTGTAGATATATTCATGTATCATGTTACACATTATTCGTATAATTTAAACTACAAATGTCAAGAGAGATTGCAACGCTATCAGAGAGTAACTAACGATTCCAAAATATCGCGGCGATATTTATAACGCGGTATCAATGCGCGTTTAAATTGAAAACGCGGCGTAAGGCTTTGCAGGAAAATGTGTGTATTTTCCTTTCGAATTACGTAGAGCGGCCTGTCCCATCGCGTAAATACTGGCGGCGTATCGAATGACTGTGTTACCCGCATCGAGTAGATTTTCTGATTTAAGCGTTCCTACTAGCAGCGAACGCGTGACACGGCCGAACCCTCCGGCAACCCTCCGGGATTATCTCACCCCACGCCAACGCCGAACGGCCCATTTCCGGATATACGCAGAGCGAACGCACACCCGTACGAGGTTCTCTCTCTCTCTTTCTCTATCTCGAAAACACAAAATACATCCAATCATGATCACTTGGCCTCTCGTGTGACCGAAAATATTGTTCTACCCGCACTAATTTTCGTCACTAAAACAAAGCGCACGCAGTCACGACGATCGCGATCACTTCCCTATATGTCATGTAAACAGATTTTCTTTCCATTTTCCGTATATTCGCACTGGTCGCTGAATTCTTGTCGGTAAAATTCAACCGATCGCGAGGATCGCGATATCACTTGAGTTTCGTGTGACGAGCGACGCGGGAAGGATTAATCCTACATTCGCACTATTCGATGGCACTAAACTCCCCGCGGTAATTACATTATACGTACGTGAAATATATCGTTGTGCACTTACCTGTTGCCAGAAGTGGGCGAGCGTGAATAAGGGCTCCTTTTTGTAGAGCCATTCCATGGTCGTTATATTCCGCGAGTTGGCCTCCGCGGAGGCCTGCATGCTGGCCAATGCCGCCGAGTTTAGACCCGCTAATAAGGGCTGCTGGAGCGCCGCAGTCACGACGGAGGTGTTGCTACCGGCTACCAGATTGGCGTGGTACACGGTCGCGGTCGGCGCATCCTCCGAACCACCAGTAGCCAGTAGTTGGGCCCCGATCGGCGCTGAAGGCCCCTGGAGCCCCAGTGACGAAGCCACTTTGACGGCTTCGAGCTTCTCCGGCGGGCGCGAAACAGCTCTTCCTCGTTTGCCGCCTTCGCCGCCGTCTCCGCCGCCGCCTCCGGAGTTGCCGGTCGTGCTCGGGGAACACGTTTTAGGCGGCGGTTCCGTCGGTAGCGTCTCTCACTGGCAGTTGACGGCGTAGCGCGAAGCGTGTCACGCGTCCACTTAGCGATTTACACTTTCGTGTTATTGCCTGGCGATCAACATCGCCGGACTGACACTCTATCGTGGCGGCGTGCATTCGATCTTCATGAGTTTACCCTTTCGATAACTTTCGACGGCCGTACGTTTTACAAGCGTTTGATAATTGTCACTCGCACAGAGTATGTATTTTATCTATCGATTTAGTCTAAGTGAAATTTCTCCATCGATTTTTCTATCTATCGATCTGTGGTCCGAGCCGATCATCGGGACTAACATGTAGCGCGTCGCGATTCGTCCACGTAACGTTGAGAATCAAACAACTAGAACACAACGACACTAGCAATTCTGACGGTAGTTTCACGTTTGTCGAAAACGTGCTCGGTACCACGGCATTATCACCACTATTGTGCCGATAAATGTCTCGATCTTCCTCGATCGACGGATCGTGATGATCCGTATCATTCGTCACCGTGTCATTAGTCACCACTATTAGAGGATCGCGGTGTTCCTGGACCGGGCCATCCGCGAACTCGTTTTTTGCGAAGAGTCTCTCACAGATGGTAATTCGCCGATATTAATGCTGAACTCTCGCCGTTGTCGTCCACGTATCGATAATGCGAGCAGATCTCAACACGCTGCCGCATCACACGGCACGGAACAGATCAAATGTTTACTCACTCGCGCCAACGAGGATCCAGTTCGTGACACTCGCGCACAGTCGACAACACAAAAAAAAAAAAAAACAATCACGACGAGTCTCCTCCAGTCACGAGGTATATCACTTGGAGATTCGGAACACTTTGGTGACACTTGATGCAACACTCGATTGATACGCCACGCGATTTCGAAATCTGTTTTTCTCGTAATCCGTTCTGCGACAGAGTCTCTTGAATCTCATCGATATCGATCTGATAGCAAGCTCGATGTCACGTCCGATATTTCCTCCTATCGATAGGCCAAATGATAAGAGACGGCTGCGTTTTTCCGTATCCTCCCTTTTTTTTTTCTTTCCCTTTTTCCTCGTTTCGTGGTTCCACTGGCGTACCCGAACCGTTGCGAACCCTTCAGTTCGCTCTCGTCCGGATGACCTCAAGAAGAGAGAACGAGACCCGTCCTAGCAGGCTCCTAACCTGAAACTAAGAGCTACCGGACGACCGATGCAATGCCTGGAGGAGGCGCGGAGCAAATAGTGGGGAGCAGGCGGAGTCTGTGGCACATAGTGAGGGTAGACCAACCCCCCACGCGACCAATCTCGGACTCTGCGAGCAACCCTACTACGCTCACGCGCCGTCTGATCTCGGTAAGGATACCGCGCTAGTAGGGATAAGCCGCGGGAAGGAGTGGGAAGCCGCGGAAAGAAACGGAGGCTGGCTAGGTGGTCCCTACCAGAGCGGATCTCATATTTTCAACTCCCCGACCGCCCTTTCCAACCCCTGCCGATCGCTAGTTCCCTTCTTCGTTCCTTCCTCTTTTTCTTCTGATTTCCCATCCTTTCCATCCGATCTATCTCCCTTTCGTTCCATCTATCGGTCTGTTCCATTTTTTAAATTTTTTATCTTCTCTCTCTACTTTTTTTTTGCTTCCTTACTCTCAAGTCCGCGAAAATTCTTCATCTTGACAATGCAAATAAATATTATATAATAAATATTATATTCTGTCAAAAAAAAAAAAAAAAAAAATCCGGATTATACAAGCATGTTGCGATCTTTTGTCAGATGCCAATAATTTCTATTAATGATTCGACTGAGTAAAATTGAAAATCATTCATGTCAACAATAATCAGAGTAAACTGTGAGCAACTGTCTAAAGATAAATCGGACGCTTGATTATGAAATAAACCTGATTAAATTTTATTAAACCCGATAGAAATAAATATTTTTTCTTGGAACTTTTTTAAATTGTGACAGAAGAAGAGCACTAGATGAGACGTAAGGGAAAGGAAAAGACAGACGGAGCATTGAAACAGCAAAGTTAAGTAAACATTTGTAAATGACAGTTGTCTATAAAAACTTTTAAATGGTTACAAGTAATAGAAAATAATTTTAATTAAGAATCAAAACTCGATTAGTTTCTTTAAAGTAAAATTTTTTTTTATTAAATTTGACGATTCTGTAAAAAATAAAAATTATAGAAAATTATTATATATCAGAAAAGTAAAACTATTTAAATTGTCATTTACGCAAAAATAAAAATTACAGGCTGTTTAAAGACTCCTTCCGCGAAGTTTATCCACTACTCAGTTTCTTTTTTTTATATCTAAAATTACTTGAAAATAACTTCAAAAAAAAAAAACCGGACAAGTTTTCTTTCTAATTCATGAACTAAATCTAATCGAAGTTAAAAGCCAAAAGCTTGATCAATGTAGATATTATATCTCAATCGATCATTCATTGATTAAAATCTGTTATTAAGAATTTAGCTAAAGCTTCACTGCATTAATAATTCAGTCCATGAGATAGGCGAGAGATTTCTTAATAAATCCTTTAATTTGGAATGCTCCCATTCAAACAAATTATGCGTGTGCGCGATTTTAACTTTATACTTTTTGACTGTAAAATTTATGTCATAGGACAAAATATTTTTTTATAAAAAATTCATGCACGATTTCTGATGATTATGTTTTTCACAAGAAAAGAGAAGAGAAGCAATATCGAGCAATTCATACGAGAATTGTTTTTGTCGCGGTGTTATAGGTTTGACTTATGCGTCGTAAATAAAAAAATAGGCTAAGGGCACACGCGTGCAGGTAATAGCCCACAGAAGGGGTTAGCCGGTACAACCCGCCTTTTACCGCGGTAAACCCACTTCGCACCAGTTAACTTAGCTAGTATCGAACTCTGCGCACGTACGAGCACACATAACGTTCATTTTCATTACTGATTGTCTACCGTACTGACTTTCGACTGCGTGAAAAGTTAATTGTCGCACTTTGATAATAATAATATAATATAATAAATCGAGATTTTGGATGCCGCAAAAAAATCTTACAATGTCACATTTGCAAAAATGGTACAAACATGTGCAAAAATTTTTTTATGAAATTCTAAAAATTGAAATTTAAAGTTATAATATTTGAAGAAAACATAATGCGTCTTGAAAAAATGTTATTATATTACTGTTAATTTAGACATATTGTTAACTATATTTATGCAAGTAAATTATTTTTGTTACTTTTAGATTTTATTGCAATACAAGTTAGGATAACACGTTGCAGTTCCTTCGTTACTAACCGAACATGGTCAATATCGTTAATATTAATATCATGAAACTAATTATATGATACATATTTTTATGATACATTATTAGCAGTTGGCAGATAAGCACAACACTAGCATAAATTAAAGTTAGCAGAAAGTTAAGAATATTTAATGAATGTGGTAGTATATATCTGCAATCTATTCAACATTTCGGCACGCTGTCATTAAGATACTGACTGGATACTTGTTGCTCGATTAACAGAACGTAAAGTTGCAGCGTAACGATCGATTTTGTATGGTTAAGTATTCCGCGCTAATTCACAGCACCATCAACAGTTTGGGATTGGTTTCTATGGCTGTTAGTTTAGGGAATTTCAGCTAGTTGTTATTAATGTGACAGTGTCTGTTTTCGTATTCCGCAGGAGATACCATTCGTCTCGAATGTATTCTCGAACGGTGCAAGCGAGATAAGCGATAATCGAAAATCGTTGCGACACGAAAAGGAGAGAATGTTGCATATAATTACTAATGAGAAGAAATCTACGTATTTTTATTAATTGCCGTTAATTCTCGATCAAAAAATGTTGCTTTTCTTCGAAATCACTTTTAGAATCCAAACGCATTTCAAAAGAGCGGCGATGAGAATAATTCGTGCAAAGTATCAATTGCGTTACGCACGTATACTTGCCACATAAAACGCGCAGAAATTTCATAAACTTCTAATTTTCGAAAGATCGGTGTGACGATGTGCGATTATGTCAGTTTGCGCGCTCGGCAGGCTAACATGCGAAATTTATCAGGCGCGACTCCATTACGAAAATACTACACGACTGGCATACTTGTCAGCGTGTACTTTACGATCACCCGGTATAGTTCTGCGGGGATTAGTTTGTCAACGCCGGCCGGCGTGCGCGACGTGCGTGTATATCTCCGTACGCATGCATGTGTCGCGGGCCAGGTTAGCAATTCTCGCGTCTTACCGTCTTCGATGCTTAGAAATATTACGCGTTGTTCACACTTGGATATATTGTTGGCAGAGCCGGTGGTCCGAACAAACGTTAAGTTATGCGATGCTCGTTTCGCCAATGACAAGAATGTGGACTCAAGTTTTAAATAGAATAAAGATACTCTGAATATAGAATTAAAACGCGATCGAGTAGAAATTAATTTTCAAGCGAAAGTTTGACAATTTTGACATGTTGCATCACGTATGTATATTAAGATTTTTGCAGACTTAGCTTTTATATTATTGCAGTAATATTTATGACATAATTGTGTATATATGTGTTGTGTAGCAATTCTTGTACATTTAGCATTTAGAAGAAAAAAAGATTATAATTTTTACAAGTCTGAGGTTCTTATTTCAGAAAAAAATAAAAAAAACTGAATATTTTTAATAATGTTACAGTGAGTTCTAAAAAGACTATGATATAGAAAATGTTTTTTTAATGAAATAATGTTTTATCTGGTTATAATACTAAAAAGATATGAACATCAAGTTTGCCAGATAATTAGAATTACAATCGAGATGGTTATTTTTGATCGAAAACGAGCAGATAAATTTGACTGACACTTCGTTACTTAGCATTTAATGAAGTAACATGAACTTTCAGTGACACATTCTGAACAGTCTATCGCTTTTAGTCTATTATTCGATAAGTTTTTTAAAATAGCCTTTGTATTGGAGAATTATATTACGTTATTGCAAACATTAATATTAAAACAGAGTATCTCGCAGTCAGATATGTCAAATATTTGTCAGAGAATACTAAATTTAAATAGAAATATTTTTTTATGGATTATATCGACTTTCTGTGTATGATAATATTACTAATCAAAAATATAGCGGTGATTTAAAATAATAAAATATTAAAATATTTTCAAGCATCATGGTGATGTATAACGAATACTTATTTTTTTGCCGATTTGTATGCGCGGTATTCCTGCACCCTTTTGAAAAATCGTATGTTAAAGAGAAATCGGACGATCGTTTACATTTACGATAAAGATAAAATTACGCCGAAAGTATTCGACCGCGTGTGGACACTCGGCGATTGGCCAAAAGCACGAATACACCCTCGCGTTTTGCAATGCCGTTGAGACGATTTTACTGCTCGTATATACACGGTATGGCCGGTCGGTTCTCGTAATAGTACGACAAGTTAATGCGTCGTCTGATATGCGACGTGCTGCCCGGATTTCGATGTACCATGGAATAACTCACTTGCGACAAATCATTTCGAGTTTAAATTACATATTTCCCAGACGTGTGTGCTCGTAGCAGCGCGGGTTTATGTCGCATTTACATCGTCCATCGATGAGAACAAAAACCGAATTTCTCGGCCATTTTCCGCGTCGCCGCTGCATCGCTTAAGCGGTTTCTCAATTGTGTTTCGCTTTATGCAAATTACCACTGTCGTCCGTCACGAATTTTTACACGTGTCGCCCGAAAAATACATGCCGGCCAAGAGTGAATGTTTTTATAATTCTTTGTCTCTTTTTTTTTTAAATATTAAATACCGAATATGTATCATGCAAATATATACGAAAAATCAACTGTCATTAAATTAATTCCGATGATTTCTATAACTGAACATAAAATTGTCTTGCTTGGAAAATTGATTTATGATGGGTTAAAATAAGAAAAATCGATGACAAAAAACATTGCTCAGGTCGTTATAATATAAAAAGTATATGTCAATAATATAAAATTTTCTCGTATGAGAAAAAGAGAGAGAGAGAGAGAGAGAGAGAGAGAGAGAGAGAGAGAGAGAGAGACATAGAAAGTTGACATCATCAGATCGGAGCTACTCATTGAGGTGACTTGAACGAAACCTTTAAGAATTTGAAACGCTCGTTTAATCGGAGGGATTTCTTTACCTTGTCACGGGAACGTCTACGACATCGCGCACGAACGGAACGGCCCGAACAAAAAGTCGTCGACTGCCGGCTGTCGAAAACGGAACCGCGAGAGACGTCGTGCGTCACGGTCGTCTTGGAATTTCGCTGCTCGCAGCAGAGAGACTCACTTTCTTCCAACGGTCACACGCTACTCAATATACCAGTCGACGATAAAGTCCCTTCCGCCGCCCTGTCCCCGCCATTGGTCTTCGAGTGGCAACGCGATTCTCTTCGAAGACTCCCCGGCGATTGTAACAATATCTTTTGCGCGGAGGCACACGAAGGATGCGCAACGAACGAACGAGAGAATCGTAAGTTCAAGAGCCGCGCTCAGGGACGTCGTCGCGCGACACGCTCGCGGTAGGAACGACATGAGACTTAACCGTCTGTATGACAGTAAGCAAAATCTTTTTTATACCGGATAAGAGTTAGGCGGGGGAAACGGAGTGAGATACGTACGATATCCAAAAGAACGAACTCGATCCGGGTATACGCGATGATTATTCTTCGAGACAACGCTCGCGCACGGATATCTCTCGCACGAGAAATTGTGTTTCTCAGAAAAACGTGCTGTCACCCGCCAACGGCTCGCGGCATTCGCGTAAGACGTCGAAGAAGCGCAGCTGACGGCAAAAGATCGATCGTAATTAAATAGTCCTTTGTAAAGTGGTTCCACTTTTTTTTCACGTTGTATAATGTAACGTTGTACCTAGTTTCTCACGAATTTCTTTGAGACGCATTTCTTTGCCTAAAGCCAGTTTACCCGGCGATTTTTGGAAAAATCTCTCTCACTAATGATGATCTCTCGTCAACGGTCGCGAGAGTTTCGCGAACACACTTGACGCCAGTTTCTGCGCGTTGAAACGCAAATGAAGTTTACGATCTCATACTCGAGACGTTAAGGTTTACGTGTTTGCCGATCTGAAACTCGCGCGA